GAACCAATGATGCTGCTTGAGATTTCACATTGATCATGACAGAAAGTAGCAATGATCTTGTTCTGTGACGACAAGGAAAGCGACTTTCTCACAATACGCTACTACAGTGACTATTTCGAGCTCATTCCACTCACTACTACAACCGCGGACGCGGTCATCAATAAGCTTAGGTGTCAGTTCGCCAGACAAGGAATACCTAAAGAACTAATCCCTGACAATGGCCCACATTTTACAAATGTTGCGTTCCTGATCTTCACAGACAAGTGGAAATTTTCGCATCGACAAACTGGCCTGTATCACAGCCAGTCTAACGGAAAAGTAGAGGTGACAGTCAAATAAGCCAAGCTGCTGTTGTCGAAAGCCAGATCCATTGGCGAGGATCAGTATCTCATGCTGTTGGCGATTCTCAACATGCCATCACCGAACATCGATCTCAGTCTAGTGCAACGTCTGTACAGTAGAAGGACAAGAACCTTAATACCTGCGCCGGTTGAGATTTTACACCCGGTCTTGCCATCGCATGAGCAACCGCAGAGAAATCTAAGAATACGGACGGCCGATCAGAAACGGTATTACTACTATGGTACCTGGGCGCTACCTGAGCCATTAGCAAACGAGGAGTGTGGATTCAATCAATACTGGGTGTCTACGAACGATGGAAGAAAGGTGTAGTGACTGCGATGGTCTTAGAATGATCGTAGTAAGTCGATACTGTAGGGAAGATAATTAGAAAGAACCGAGTGCAGCTGAAGCGACACCGGAAACGAGAAGGTTAACCTGAAACAAGGAATACGACGGTTTTCGGCGAGGTCACGACGACAGGTAGCAAATAACACGCAGAGCGGAAGACCGTATGGAGTCTTCTAGGACACCGATGCTGCTGATCATAAAAAGTGAGGGATGTGATGGGATTATGCAATCAGGAACAAGATGCATTTACATGGTGAATCAAGCAGCTAGCTTGTCCTAAGCGAACGGGGCAAATGATTGGATGCATACGCATCTTCGCCTATGCGCTGCTTGGTTCGTATTTGGTAGTGCTGGAATGAGTTTGACTGATTCAAGGGAAGAATCTCACGAATGCGGTAGCGTTATCAGTTATGGTAGTGACCGGGTTATTTATATCGAGGCTTCGACAAGCTAGTCAGGTGGTCATTTTTTCCAAACTTGCTTTGTCGAATAAGCCGTTGTCCTTGAAGGACCGAGTTCTGCGAGAGCTGTGACAAAATTATTTAGGACTCGTCAAATTCTTCCGCGACTTACTAAACATCTTAGCTCCGAATGCAACATGCTTGACCATATAAAGCGCCCTAAGTTATACATGATGCCTTACCGCCATTGACATATCCGTGATCGCCAACAGCTAGTGTGTCCACGTGCATGGTATAAGCACATTTTTTCAGCCCATACTTTTGTCTCTTCATCGCTCGATAGACACTACGCTAACCTCACTACGAATTCATACGATCCGTTCGTCTTTACATTTTTAACTTCTAAACTATTAGCGAAGTCGAAACAGGCTTTATCAACCCAACTGGAAACATTTTCAGCACTTTACATTGGCACTGCGACGTAGTGAGGCGTAAAATTGCAACCCAAGCGTTAAAAGCCGAAAATATGGATGCACATCACTCAGCAAAACGTACGATCGTGTTTCCCCCGGACTCGTACTCCGGTCGGAGTTACTGACACATTTCCCATCATACACTAGTGCGCTTGCACTCGTTTTACCCGGCTTCATCTGCACCCTTTAGTGCATCCTATCCTTCGGATCTAGCTTGTGTATATAACCCTTCACCTCCACATCGCCATCTTCGCACCCTCCCAATAGAGACGCGTGCAAATTTCGCATCCAGAGCCACACCGCAACATTTGTGGTCCCGGATGAAAGCCAACTCCGAGATCTATACTACGAGACATCAAAAACAGCTCTCGACCGCCAAATGAAGCTGGTATGGGACCTTTTTGTCCCTTATCGCTCCGTCGCCTTATTTACACTTCAGAGCGCTTACAGAGCGAACGACCCAGCCGCTCAAACTTACCCTGCCAGCCGTTTGACGCATAGGACGTACAACGGACGTGTCCACCTTGCGAAACAGCCGATTCGGTGCGCAGGGGGCAGACAGGTAACAACACGCACTCAGCCATCGACCTGAAAGGTGTCGATCGTCACAATGGTTTGTTAATCGCAGTTCCCTCAATCAACAGGCTTCGATACGTCTGGACAAGCGCCAGACAGCTGTTTCGGCCTTCCGGGTGTCATCAGTGGTGCGCTTTCCTCGGAACTGCCGCGTTCGACCCCATGAGTTCCGGATGCCAGCGGCTTGTGCCGCTAAGCCAGGGGTGACTACCGCGGACCTTCATAACTGTCACTACGATATAGACCGGCTCATCCTTCACCGTCATGCCAGTTACGAACTGTGCAGAGGATAGTGGCTGGCCTAACGGAGTTAGGTGTGTTAGTTAAATCTGCCAAGTTGCTACGGGGCACCCGTCACCCAAACAGAGCACTACGATGAACCGAGTATTTTGCGAATTGTTTTAACTTCCGCGGATGAAGCAGAAGCACTTCTATTATTGACAGCTCGCCCCCAGAAAAGATCATGGTCAATCCGCACCTCCCAGGATATTCCGTAGAGTGAACGTAAACACACAAGGCACGATTTGGAAGTATACCGAAAGGAATCCGTTGCCAGGACTATCCTTGTACACAGTGTTCCCGAGGCTGGAGGGCATGATGATCGCGAGACGACCGCCCACCAACAATATCAGTGGAGCTACATTCGCGCGACCTCCTTGGGAAACGTCGTAGCGCGATCGATCTCGAGGATGCACAGGTCGCTAAGTTGCAGAACGTGTGGCCCTGGGATTGTGAAGCTGGTGCTTCAATCCAAACGAACGTCAGCAAGGGTGTTGAAGTGGTGGTATGCGAGTAGCAGCAGCCTGCCTTCCGAGCTCCGGAGCAAAGCAGCGTCTCCCAAACGAACCCACTTAGCAGCAATGTACTTGAATCACTTCCCGACAACGGTTCGGATAACATCATTTACCGAGTCGACGAAACTGATGAACAAATCCCATACATTATGTACAAAGTTAGGTGCAGGGAGGTAATGGCGGGATCCCTGGATCTGATGCAAATGAGTTCGTCACCGCTGTGATATGAGCATTGTAAGGACAGCTGTTGAAATTCGCCTACGCATTCGAAACGAACAGGAAATAGGCCGCTCGATCGATTATCCGCCGCTAGTCGAGCAGAAACATCTACACGCGTGAACGAGAATCGCTTTGTAAGCCCACATGACCAGTTGGTTCGATCGATGGATATGCCAGAGGCAGCCAATCAAGAGAGACCAAATCGGAATCACTCAACGGAGCGTTTGCCATATGAATAATATGTTGCCTTCCAATGAAAACTGGTTCTGTTCTTGATTCTCGGAAGGCCTTATATGTCAACCGCCCCACACAAAATCGATTAGTAGCCGACTTTTCACCGGTTGACACATTACACCCAAAACACTTCCACTTACTACTGAGATCAGAGAAAATTTCCCTCTGTGCGCCAACACACAAGGTCTCTACAACAAGCATGCTTACTTGCGTCTACCTGAAGCATATACATAGGACCTCATATTCGTAACGAAAACTTGGTTTCAGTCAGATAATACTGACGCCGAAGTCGCGATACATGTCATCTCCCTTCTTCGAAATGATCACCGCATCAATGGCGGTGGGTACTTTTGTAATACCGCAATAAGTTGCAATGCGAACAATGACGAGCCGGAAGCGCCTATCATATATATTTTGGTTAATCAATTTCCAAGGTCACGGAGATCAATCTCCTCTATCAGCCTTTTGAATACAAACGTGTTGTGCACCCGAAAACACTTTCAATATTTTAAAACATTGGATTTTACTCTGTTTGAACCTACACAACGTCCATTCGTTTTACTGGCACCACTTCCGTTTTCACAATCTGCTCTTGTATGGCCCGTGCTACATCGTTCCTCGCCCTTGCTGTTACGCTTTCTACTTTTGTAGCCTGTACAATTCACATTGGGTCCAGCTGCCTCCAATTTCTCTACTGTTCCGTGTTTGACGCGTTTCTTACGTGTCATTGTTACCGACCAGTATCCCAGGCGCCCCCTAACAAACGAGGAGCTATCGCGCACTATCTCCGATCTGTTGTCCTTAGGCACAAAATTCTATGTCCACTGGAACGAATTGTGAAGAAAGGTTTTACTTAAACGTTTTCCGTTTCGAATGGATGCAAATGCCGAAGATTTAATGCAGCATTATGGATGGGTGTTCGATCGAGGTATGACAGTTCACTTTCTTTGTCTACCCTTTTGTAAATTTAGCATTTTTTAAGGTAACCGGTTGTTTCATTTACAGTTGATAGTGCAAAATGCTGAAAGTGCATCCATTTGGGTACATAAAGCTTATACTGACTTGACTTGACTCCCATAAACTCACTCTGGTGCAGTCTGCACCTGAGACGCAACGACACTTGCCTTGTGATGGTTGTTTATCTTCCCGCAATAACCACTTCAGAGATGCGCTCTCGTCTGACCTCAGCCTTGTGGAGGGTCATTCAACGGCGATGCAGCCATGTTCTCATCACAAGTGTTTTCCATGTTTACGGCCTGGAAGTTCTGGTATTCCCCACCAAGCTTATTGCAATTAGGCCCCCAATTATTGTTCCCACCTGAATCGGAGCGGGAGATTAACCATCTGTATTAGCTTTTATTGTAACGATGCCGTTCGCCTCCACTCTCTGCCAGGCCAACCCAGCCTGGGACAAAACAAACCACCGAAGCCTGCTAAACTGAAATATATTAAGCACAGAACACGGTTCATTTTATAAGTCACATTCTATCATCTGCGGTTGTATGTTACTGAGCTGACTCACGCCACTTGCCTGAACAGATTGCCAACCTGCTTCCGGTCTGCACTGGCCAGTTGTCGTCGCAATCACTCACGCCTGTCTCGTAGCAAAAGCTTTGTCATGAACTGATCTCATCAGCTTCCGGTGTGACTTAGCCGTGCTACCGCCGACCGGAGAGCAACCCGTGTGATGATGACGGACGTCTGGAAACCGTGTTACGTTATTAGGCTGTTGCCTCCGATTAGGTTTGGTGCTCACGAACCAAGAGCCCGTGTTCGAGAAGCCAAAGATGGAAAGATGGTGCTAAGTTATCACTTAACAATACTTTACCACTATGTGTGTTATGCGGTGTAGCCACGAGAACATAGTGACTTGTTTCGAAAAATCACGCGCTACCATATATTAACAGAACTTGTTGGAAACGCCATCTGGGCGTTTCCGGACGACTGTTCTATTGATAGTGCCTGCATGCAGTTTCCTGACAAGTTCAGTGATCTGATTGAATCTGCAGTTGTAAACAGGCCCCTTCGTTCTGCAACAACACCATCATTCATTCGGAGCAGAACCCGAAAACGCATGTCAACAAAAGGCGCAGCGTGCCACGTGTACAGAGCGAACGTGAGCCCTGACAACTGGAGCAACGAATTAGTGCATCGTAATCACTGGTTCACCCTTGTCCGTGAGGACAAATTAGTACACCAGCAGAGCTTATCGGAAGTGTGGTGCTAACAAAAGGCTTTCGAACAGACATGTGAACCGCCTCCGGAAAGTGAAGCGTGGTATTTCCCCACTCATCTCAGCAAACGGATGTGCTCAAACCGCCGAGAATACAGCCAGCGCTGTACGGCTACAATATGTTCTACTATTCCAACGCGTCACCAGCATATGTCCCATATCTGTCCACATATCTTACCATGTCTCCATCGGGTAAATCATTAAATGAGTTCATCCAGGACGGGCCAAGAAATGTATAACCACTGAGGAGAGATGTTGCACAAAACTCAGCAACAACAAATGTTATGTGTTCCAAAATGTTTTGATGTCACACCCCAAAATACGTATCACGCCTATGTATGAACGTGATCATTACTGTACTCATAATCTGTCCCCAACACAGTGACAGTTTCTCGCACAATCAAGAAATATACGTATTATTATTATTCCTCCAGACGTTAGTATTTACACACATCATGATTACTTCGGCGACTGTTTTGAGGAAACTGCTATTGTCGCACACCCATAGTTCCCTTGAACTTGACAAAATTTACCCGAAAGCACTGTACGTGTCAGCTGCGAGGACAATCGCGCCATTAACTCAATTTTTCCAATGATGCCTAGATGAACCACAGGTTTCTAACGTGTATAAACATGGTATCAATTCCTCTGTTTTCAAGGTTGGTAGCGCTTTCTGAGCCCGTCAACTATCGCCCATTGATTTTTCTCCCTATACTCTCAAAATTGATGGAGTCCATCACGGCTGGGGCCCCAATTGGCCACCTAGAACGATCGAACATCATATCGCCGGAGCAACACGGATTCGGTCATCTACTACCAATCTACTGATTGCTGGTGGCAGGTGGATCGAAACAATGGATAGTGGGACCGGCACTGGTGTCATGTATCATGACATTTCTACACCCTTCGACCGCTTAGACCACTGCATCCTCCTCTGAAAGCTGCACACCTATGGAATTTGAAATCCTGTCTTTTGTTGGAATGGATGTATTGCCTTCTTTAGCGGTATCTTCAGCTTCGGCTTCGGGCTCATTTTTTGATCTTATTGTGGTGGACTGCGGTGTTCCACAAGGGTAAACGTCGGAGCGGCACTTATTCCTGGTCTTCATCAACAACCGTTGTCACGTATGCGAATGACTTCGATCCGTTTACTCAGCCGTGCGTGGATTGGTTACCACACACACCAGCCAGCCGATCATCAGACACACACCCCGGTCTCGCAACGCGAGTTCCGTGAGTCTTGTACCTTCCTCAATTGATTGATAAATCTCCTGCTGTTTAGACGTCTTCTGCTTGCTGGGATTACGTGTCTCGGAAGTGTGCGTTACATGCTTAGTGGTACTACGTATTAACCGTGTGCGTGTCATCCAGTCGAATGTTCTACTTTTTGTGATGACACCAAGGTGTGGCGGGTGATCGGTAGTCATGGAGATCACCATATACTGCAATCAGACTTAAGCTGTGCTTTTGAATGGCCCAGGGTATGCCTACTTCCGTTCAGCGCACGCAAGTGTAAAACTCTACAAGTACGCCGCAAGCCCACTGTTGCACATAATCTTGAAGACCGCCTCGCATGAGCGCGACTTTGGGGTATTGATGCAAGATGACTTCATCTGTTTGGCGCAATCCTTGCAAGCGTTCCAAAGCGCGAACCATGTTAGTTTCGGGCGGCTCGACCCCTCCATCTTCCCAACAAATGCTCAACGCATTTGTGAGGCCCCACGTAGAGTACGAAATACACGCCTGGCAACGCTGTTTAGAACGCTATCTGGCTGCACTGGAGATCCCACAGCGAATGGCAACCAAAAATGTGCAGGGATTGTCGCACTTGCAATACCATCTGCGACTGAAAGTCCTAGGAATATACAGCGGAAGTTATCACCGTATACGAGGTGACCTCATTTTGGCGTACCCGATCTAGAAAATCTCCGGTCACACTTGCCGTCACCTCCTGAAACTTGTCTGCAACCCAAAATTGAAGGGTCACCAGCTGAAACTGGCCATCCAATACGGTCAGCTGGGATACCACCGAATTTTTCAGTCGCTAAATGCTCTTTCGACTTTTGTCATTTCTGCGCCCGCGCCATCCACTTTTTAAAAGACGACTCGACGATGTATTGCATCACCTGCATTAGTTGACTCGAATTCTGTTCCTTGAGGGCCGACACGACGCAGATAAACACTGGGCTCACCAACCCCCCACGAAATCCAGGTAGCCAGATTTATTTGTATGTTAACACAGCTATTATTATGGTGATTCCACATATGCACGTTTCACTTTAGCGTCTTTTTTGAACTTATATCACTCACACACACCATCCTACGAGACCGGTCAAGCCTTGGCTTTCTCATCCGTATTATACAATTGCTGCAATATTCACGCGTGGTGTTGATAAGCTTTTTTTGAATCTACACGAACACGGGATACAAATATAGTAAGAGGGTTATGATGATATTGTGCGAGAAACCAGAACCCCAAATTTAGAGCAGGTAGACGAGCCGGAGTGAGTTTTTGATAAATCAACCTGATGGCGTGAAAAGAGCCACATGTACCTAAGTGCTTAGTCACGATGAAATCAACCAGAGACTCCTTGCGCAATCCACTACGCCTGAGAATGAGCTCACTGGAATGCACCAACAGTATGAAGCCTTTTTGTAGGCGACCAGGAAAATGCTTGATGAGTAATATAGCCTGCGAGGAAGAATACATGCACTCACGACGTTGTAAATTAATGATCAGGGTACTGAAAGAACTATGTCTCAGTTGTGTTCTGATTTCATGCGCAGATCAATGAACTAGTTAGTGCTTGTACTTTTATACGCATTTTTTTATCACAAGACAGTGTGTTTGCGTTCCCAGTAACCGACTCACTATACAATGAGGTTTGACTTCATGTATTGTTAGTAAATCATTCGGGAAAAGACGAGTCTAATCAGTCGCACAAAGCTGGCTATCAGCTGCTCTTTATTGCCGTCATTCCTATTGATAATGCTCGCATGAACTAACTGCGTATCATGTAATCAGTTAGTTTCTGAAAACACGTTTGAACTTACTGGTCCCAAATCATACCATTCCGATCAATTTTCCTGTCCATGCCGGCCAGTAGCCACAACGATCACACTCGTGCTTTATAATCCGGTAGTCAGCGGTTCGAGCCTGCGTAGGGAACCGGGTGACACTCGCACTACGCTTAACCCACGCGCTACCGGTGGTGCTTGCGTGACAGCAAAGCCTCGGTACAGTGTATCGACGTTCTACTGGTGCTAACTTTTTGTACCCATGCTTAATCCGCGAGAAGACTGAAGTTTCTGGTGGTGCACTACTCAATTGGTACCCCCAGTTCAGCTGGATTCGACCACTACTCTATTCGCCTGTTCATTAAATGGCATCAGTCGCATCCTCACACGTCGCCGAGGTTTGTCCTCTATCCCCTTGCGTCTTAATATCTACGGTCAAAGATATTCCATTAAGCAACTGCCCAAATGAAGTACCTAGAGCAACTTGCTCTTTTTGGATAACATTTTCCTTTGTGTTTAAAGGATCTGTTTTTTTAATAAAAGGTTTATCTGCTCACCCCATCGCCATACTTTGCCCCTGACTCATGTATTCCTATGTGATCCGCGCTTGTCAGCGTTCAGCAAGTGCCTATTTTTATACAACATTACCCCATAAAAGTTGCACCGTAAATGAGACATTGTGTATACGAACTAGCTCCTCGTTGGCCCAGTTTTCTTCCAAATAGCCATATACATGGGTTGAATGCAAACTTTTGGGTCTGGCACAGAAATCAGAGAGCCAGCCAGAGCAGATAACCTGCTTATAGTCTAACACTTCTTTTTTGTATACGAATTCATCTTTTTACCTCTTTTACTTTCATTCCAGCAGGTTCTTGAAGTGAACAGCCTCTGTAATTTGGTGAAAATGGTGAAATTGGCGCATCGTGCAGTTATCAAATATTTCTCAAAGGAATGTCACCGTCTGGAATCCACCAAAATATGCTCAATACATAGCATAACAATGCCCTTTCATATGCCACAGTTAAAGGTTGGGTGCAAGATTTTAAGCGCAGCAGGGAGAGTATTGAAGATGAGCCCAGGTCAGGAGACCATCAACCGCCACCACCACGGAAACTCTTGGCCTACTAATGGATAGGATCATGCAACATCGCCGATTAATAACTCTTCAGTTAAAAGGGCGGCTGAGCATCTCCCAGGAGCGAGCAGATAATATTCTGTTGAAGGATTTAGGCTACTCAACATTTCCTGTCCCATGGGTGCCACTTCTTCTGACTCCTGAGCAGAAGCGCATTCGACTCGTGTTGTCAAGGCACAATTTGGCACTGTTTGTGGCAGATGCTGATGATTTTCTTGCACGATTCCTCACTGTAGATGATTGCTGCGTTCATCACCTTCAACGAGAATGAAAGAACACTCAAAGCAATGTAAGGTGGCATCATCTGCGCCAAAGAAGGCCAAGGTTACACCGTCAGTTGGTATGTTGATGGCAGCTGTTTTGGGGATTCCCGAGGTGTGGTGATGATTGATTTCCTTGAAAGGTGCCATACCATCAGAGGAGTATTACTGTGAACTTCTAAGACGTCTCAGAAAGCAATTTCGAGAAAAAAGGCCAGGAATGCGAACGTGAGGAGTCATTTTCCACAACGACCATGCTCCAGCCCACATCTCTTCCATTGCTCAGAAAGCAATCCACGATATCGGTTTCCAGCTTCTTCCTCACTCAGTCTATTCATCAGATCTGTCTTCCATCTATTTCCAAACTTGAAAATAGCTTTAGCTGGCAAACATTTTTTCAAAGACGGTGAGGTCACTGAAGCCGCAGAAGCGTTTTTATACAGTCGCATTCTGGAGAGTTCTTTTCCACTGGAATAAAGGCGCTTCAGCACCTATGGAGCAAGTCTGTAGCGCTTGAGGGTGATTATGTTGAAAAATAAAAGCATCGAAGACGTAGTGGATCCTTTGGTTTTTTGAGGCTCAATACTTTTAATTCAACCCACGTATTAAGGATGAAAGCTCACGATCCACAAGTCTCATGGTGTGATCTGGAAACGAATAACAGACTCGAAACTAATCATTACCGACAAAATAGGCCGCCAATCTATGGACTCATCGGGGTTTCCACAAACACAAATTCAAATTTGCATACCGCGATTCTACAGGAAGGTTGGTGAGCACACCCGACGTCTATGGCATGTCGTTTTTCGATGACCACGGGTGATATCACGTAGTGCGGCCTGCTTAATTATTTATCGATTCACTTTTTCATATCTATACCATAGGTGCAAAATCATGTAAATTGGACGGGCGCTACGCATTTTTCAAACACAGAGAAAATTTACAGTAACTTTTCAGCCGGGTAAACGGCCAAGCAACTTAAGCTAGCAGCCAGCCTAGTTGGTGTTGCGCTATGTTACAGTATATCGTGGATAGCATGATGGGTTCTAATGGATCTGATATGTTAATAGCGTAGTAGTAGTAATCACGTGCGCCTAGTAAATAGACATGGAGCCAACAAAAGCCATGGAGATTAGTGGAAAAAGGACAGAGTCACCGCGTCATAATCATTGTGGCGCAATAATTGAAGGCGAGCAACACACTTCAGCTATTGTGCCACAGGAAGAAAGGAACATTATGACAAAAATAGAATAAAACATTTAATTTGTCTTTACACGCGAATTTTTCTCATTTTTGTCATTTTCAATGTGAATCAATACCATTCTGTACACAAATCTTCCACTGGTTCCGGTTGTTGGCCATGTCTTCAAGCGTGTTAAGCCATGGGCACTCCTCATCCTATGGTCCCCATCCTTGAAGACGTACGGGTCCCACGGCGGCTAGACGCGATGTCAGTGCTTTCATGTGCCGTCGTCAAGTGGAAAGCTGACCATCACGCGGTCGCTTCCATCCAGGTGCTTGACGAGCGAATAGCGCGCGACCCGGTACAGGCTCAGGTGCAATGCGTAGGACGTGACCGAGCCATCTCAACTAGCGCAGCAAAACTAGTTTGTTGAAGGGAATACTAGCATTTCCCAAGATGCGACGTCGAACATCATCATTGTTAACTCCATGTTGCCACCAAACAACAGCAATCCTCATTAAGCAACCGTGGTCAAAGTCAGAAAGACGACGGATGTCTACCACGCGGATTGGGCAGGACTCGCTTCCATGCAATAATAGTGAAAGAACAGGTGCGCTGTAAACGCGGCTCTTTATCGAGATGAAGACGTTCCCTCGACGCCACAAGTGCCACAGATTGACAAATGCTGATCGGGTTTTAGCGATGCGAAGAGAAATTCTTGCTGGCATTGCCGTCAACAGATACACAGCTCCAAGCCAGACGAAACTATCTACCTGTTCAAGGTGGGCACCTTCAAAAGTGGGCACGGAAGTAGGTCTAGGCCAATCCTGGAGCAGCACTTTACACTCCGATGGGGAGAAGCTCATGCCATACTTAGATGCTTCAACCGCCAAACGATCAAGAAGCATTTGCATACCCTGAAGATCGTCACCAAGTAAGGCGATATCATCAGCGTAATCTTAGTTGGTCGCGCACTCAGTCGGTAGAAGCACTATGCCAGAATGTTGGAAGCCTTCTAGAGCACTCGACTGAACGTCTGCGATGGTGAAGTTGAAGAGGAATGGGGACATAGGGCAACCCTGTCGCACACCGCTATAAACAGCGAATGGCGAGGAGAGCTTGCCATAGACACTCTGCCGGAGGTACGAAGACAAAGCGCATGTAAGATGGCGATATACTTATCTGACACCCCGTTTTTGGCAAGCAACGCCATAAAGCAGGTCGATCAACAAAGTCAAATGCAGCACGTGTGTCTAAGAATGCAACCATAAGAACAACTATAACAACCAACAGGAGTTAGCGGAGCGTGAGGATTTGATCCACGTATGCACGGCCGGGACGGAAACTAGCTTGTTCCTCACGGTAGGATGGTTCACTTTTTTGGATAGTCTACGGAGCAGAATGGATGCTACTAGCTTGGAGACGACCGAAATAAGATTAATCCTGTGATGATTTGCACATGACTTGCGAGCGCTTTTCTTGAAAATCGGGACAATAACTGATTCGCCCCATGAGTAAGGCACTTTCTTTTTGTTGTCAGATTTTTGCAATTGACGAGGCCAGCTGGTTAATGATTGCCACGCCGCCGTGTCTGAATAGCTCCGGAGAAAGTCCGTCAGAGCCGGCAGCCTTGAACCGCTTCAAGCGTCGAACCTCGAGACAGACTTCCACTCCGCCAGGTGGATTCGGTGGGACAATCCAGGGTGGACAACTAGGTGTACTGCATGTACTGATGGACGTTGGAGGCCAGTTGTGTTGTGAGTGAAAGTGCTCGGCCAAGCGGTCCAAACGCCTCTGTTGGTTGGTGATCAGAGACTCATCCGCCTCTCAAATAACGTCACTGACACTAGGCTTCCGGAGGACAGTGGACCGAATGAGTTGGAAAAGCTTGCGAGTATGGCCGGGGAGAGCAGCCGTCTGCATCTCCATAGTACGCTTAGACCACCCTGTCTCGCGATCCTTGCGCAGACTTTGCTTGAGCAGCCGATTGGCAAAGCGACGCCGCTCGTTGCAATCTGATTCTGCCGGGATATCTTTGAAGCTGTCGAACAGCTCCAGAGGGTGAGCAGAGATCCAAGTCTTCAAGTGATGTCAAGCTAGACTGCAGCTTATTTGTCCGGAAATGATCATCGCTTTCTGTATACAAGTCCGGTATTGCTTCACCTATTGCGGGGGATTACAACTGAGTGCGTATGTCAGTGAATCGACAAATCTGTTTGCATTAATGTTGGGTGCTTCGTCTTTCGGATATCCCAAACCACCTGCAGATTTTCTCGCAGACCAACGCATGATCTGAGTCAACGATCGTGGACTAAAAGGACCTGTAGTCCAGTACGCTGCCATGCCATCTGTAACTGATTGACATGTAATCAATTTGAGACCACGGTTGTGTTGGCGAAGGGGACGCCACGTTCATTGAGTTCATTGTGTTGTAGAGAGCAGGAGATAAATTCTTTGTCAGCCCCATCGATTCCGTAGCATACTGGGTTTGATGCGTATCGTTGCATTATGACGTTCCTCGAGGGTTCGCCACAATTGCAGTGACAGCCGTGAGATTCCAGCATTCTCAGCGAATGTTTGTCTAGCAGCCGCTTGAAACGTTGCAGAGCGCTTCTTTGTACGCCTGAGCTTAGTGCTCGAGAAAAACGGTTGTTTCCGCACAATGTGCGAAGCCTCTCTCCGTTATCAGAGCGGTCCTGCTCGAGCACGGGGTGACCATCATAGTACCGTTCGTATGGTAACAGGTGGCCAGCCCGTGCATTGAAAGTCCTACCAAGGACAACATCAGACTTTTAGTATTAGTCAAGAGCTGATGTAGATCCCCATGGAAGTCATTCTTGACGGAGTCGCTATTGCAGTCGGTTAGACCGTAAGCGGAGATCCAAAACAAG